TCCATAAATAAAGTGGCATGATGAAATAAAGATAGTAATCAAAGTGCTTTGTATCCTATAATCAATTTACTATATATTATAATATGCAAAGAAAGAGAAAGAGAGAGAGAGAGAGAGAGAGAGAGAGAGAGAGAGGGAGAGGGAGAGAGAGAGAGAGAGAGGGAGAGAGAGAGAGAATAGAGAAAAAAGAGAAAAATAAATTTAATTATTTACTTGAAGATTTAATAAAAAAAGAGGATTTATTGATATTATACTAGAAAAGCAAGGATTTATATAATTAAATTATTTGTTACGAAATAAGATAGAACATCTGTGCTATAAGTTTATTTTTTAATATTAGAGTTTACAGTGGCTTTCTAATTTTTAATAGCAATATTATGTTTGCTATAGCTATTAAACACACACACTGATGTATACCTTTATCTCTCTTCAGCGTTATACGATATTGAAAATATTCTTTTTAAAAGCATTTGGAAATATTTATTATTTTGTATTTTTATTGCAGATGTGCCAAGTGAACAATCCGTTTTTGTGATGCTGAACGGAGAAGAAAGCGAGCTTAAATTTTTAAATATCGCTAATCCAAAGGTGAGGAACCGTCTCTGTATTTACCATACACAAAAGCATGCTTAAAATTTAAAAATATAATATCAAAGCAGTAAGAATATCTAAGGACATTTTTGTCACATACATATATAAATTTAAAAATTAAAGTTAATAGCACTGGTTAAGGCTGCAATGTGCTATGCTATGAATATAAATATAGATTTATTTATTTATTTTTAAATAAATTAAAAATTACAATATCAATCAAAAGAAATAAAAAAACAAAACAATAAAATAAATGATGGAATTAAATCAAATTAATAGACAGAAAGAAAAATTTTTATGGAATGCATTTTAAATCTTAATTAAGAACAATTTCAAATAAATTTTCCATTTTTTATCTTATTTCCTAAGACAGACAAATACAAACAGAGAATTTAGAATTTTTTTTTTAATTCGATAACTTTGATTCAATTCGATAAATTTGATTTTGCAGACCGAATTGGAAAAAACGCCGTTGCCGGACGCCTTTGTTGTAATGTATTCGGTGATCGACAAGGCTTCTTTTCAAAGAGCCGAGGAATATCTCGCTCGACTTCACGATCAAGATCTTCTTCGTGGCAGACCGGCTATTCTGGTCGGAAACAAGGTCGATTTGGTTCGTTCTAGAGTGGTTTCGCCCCAGGGTAAGAAGCGCCTTTCTTTTTTACAAGTACTTTTTTCATGGTTTGATGCTTTTGTGATATTTTATAAAATCGAACGTTCGGTTAACATGGCATAGTACCTCGGCTAAATTCTAAGATAAAAATAAGATGACCGTTTATCTGTGACACTTATATCTATTTCAACTATTTTTATTTCTTTTATCAACGTAAAAATCTCTCTCTCTCTCTTTTGTAGATTTATTATAAAATAAAATTTATTATTATTAAAATTAAATTCTACAATAGATTCAATAAAGATAAGATTCTATTTTAATTTGTTTATGTTGTATTTTATCTGTAAGCAAAATATCGCTTTTTTTATCATTTAATTCAAGACACGAGGCTATTTTAGATTATCCGTATTAGAAATGCGGGGTACTATTTTATTTAAATTACTTTTCTATTTCAACTGTAATTTTTTTTATCCCAAATACCTGAATTGTGCTTTATAGACGGGAAATGTTTGGCCTGCACCTACCGCGCGAAATTCGTTGAAGTATCGGTGGGCATCAATCACAACGTCGACGAGCTCTTGGTCGGCATACTCAATCAGATTCGTTTGAAAGTGGTCCAAGGAAACCAGGAACACCGAAACAGTGGTGGCGGCAGCGAAGGCAGCGGCCACTGGTACAAATCCAGAGGTGTCGTGCGCGCCAGCATGAAAGCCAGACAAATGTTGACCTGGCTCTTCGGCAAAGAGGATAGTAAGTTTAAGAATTGCGAGAATCTTCACGTACTTTAAATTACAGCGATAAGAAATTGCAGGTCGAATTGCCCGATTTCTGTTTTATTAGTACGTAAGTACGACGCGCATGACTTCTTGAACTTTTTTCTCGAAGGAAATTCTATTAAAATTCAAAAACGCGTCAAGGAAGCTAATGTAAGAATTGTGAGAATGTAGTCTGAATGTATAGAACAAATATGTCTCTCTGACTCAACAAAATGTAATTTAAGGTTCTGAATCAAATGTGAAATCTTCACAATAGCATACGAGAATATTTTGTTATTCTGTAGGAAGAACAAACGGTCCGAGGACCAAAATGGATATAATTATCGGATGAACAAAGTTTATAAAATATAAAAAAATTTTATCATACATTTTTCGCTCGCGCGCGTTAGTATTCTAACGAAAAAATAATCTATAATGAGCAAAAGAAGTACTTATTATCGCATCGCTGAAACTAGTAGCTCTTAATAATGCGATCAAAAGTTCAAATCAATCATGATGATAAGAAAGAATTAAACTGGACCATGGCGTGAACTAGAATCACCACTAAGTTTACAATCTTATTAATAAGACCAATTACACACACTTAATCTTTATATTTATTACGTACGTGTATATATACAAAAATCTCTTACGTGTACACGTATACCTGCAAGCAAGCATATTCTATATAAATATACACACCTGTGTATCCTTAATCTCCCGTTGACAATTGTCGATTCTATCACATGACGACATTATGTTGTTGCAAATAAAATAGCGCTGCTATTCTTGCATTGTTAAATTGACTTGTATCGCGAGTGTCATTAGTTTCTCGTGTTCCAATGGACTTCCTGTGCAATGACTTTCGTTATTGCGTTGCGGCCAAATTTGTGCTCTATATGCTAATAAAGTTTTATACAGAAAAGTTACTTTTTTTTGCCATTTAACATTTTTATATATATTTACTACAGTTAAGAAAGACATTTAGTGTATAAAAATTAACTACTCTATGTTAAACTAAAATATATTTGTTATGTTATTGATAGAGTAAATCTATACATTGTATAAGATTCTTATATATCACTTGTATTACAAAATAGACGTTTGATTGCGTATTTTGATATGAAAGATGTGTTGAGAATTATATGATAAAACTGCATATCAAATAACTTTTAATTAGTAGTTTGCGTGCGAGGTCTGATTCTATCAATTCCTTAGTCACATATTTTATTAATTACATTATTTATATGTGAATTATTTTGTACTCAGTATTGATATAGCAAATAATATGTAATTCAATAATGTAGCATTTTGTGTGCAACATTATATCGCAGCGGAGATGAGATTTATCGTGTTTTGTGTTTTACTCGCGCGCTTCGCGAGAAAGAACGGAGAGTACTATCTAGTAACATGTGTAAACTGTAGATTTCAGAAAAGAAATATCCTTTTTGAATCTTTAAAAAGAGAGAGGATGAGGGTGAAGAATGTCTATAAAAGCTGTCTATTTTCTGCGATCTCCATGCCTGTACATCCGAATTATATGAATGTAGCATAAAATTTGAATGGCGCTTATATGATGGGAACAATGCATCAACGATGTGCAACTTTGCTCTTCTTATATGTGAATATTTCATCGTCCCTTGACTATGTATACGAGAAATTAACGTTTCGGATTACAATAGCGAATTGTAATAGACTTCCTTTCTCTCGTTATACAAACATTTTGAAGTGTTTTAATTCTTGATAAACCCAATAAAAATTAAAAAGTTTTCTCCGGCATTCTTCGTTATCGTCGCTATCATCGTTATTCTATTAATCAATCGTTAAGCGCAAGTTGTGACAAATATGCTGTGTGAATCATGAATTTAAGTATTTATCCCCAGATGTCTCTTAACGAGAAACCAAAGATTCTTATCAAGTGCCTTTGCGTATTTTTGTAATTTAAGCTAACTTGGTGTAAGCCCCATGAGTATCGTACTGTATATATATAATCTATTATTATACATATTATATTACGGATATACTTATTTGTTGTTAATTCATCATGTTACCTGCGAGATCGCGCCGCATCATATACTTGGTGAGCGTAACTTTTCTTTCAAACTATATAAACTTTATTTTAAATTTCTATTTTAAAGCTCATTAAAAAGTGATATATATGAAGTGACAAGCAATTACTTCCAAATTTTGCAATTAAAGTTACGCCGCCGAATAAATTTCCTCGTTCATGCCATTAGCATTCTTGAAAGCTGTGGATGTAATTTACTATTAAAATTGTCATTGTGTCTGTTCGCTGTAATATGTGACGTGACAATACTGCCAGTCCCTTTGTTTAATAAAATGCTGAAAATGAGAAAAATTCTACTGCTACAATTCGATATCACGATATAAGCAAGAATTTCGGAAATTCGATTTGCTTAATTCTGGTGTGTAAACATTTTCACATGATACATGTGAAATGTATCATGAACATTCATGAACATTCATGTAATATGAATCATGTTATTCATATAAACAACAATGCATGCGTTCATTAATATGTAAATTTATAGATCCACATGTTTGTTAATTTAAACTGTGGATTAATCAGCATGTTCTTTGATTAATTTTGACTTGATTCTTGCAGCTTTTTTTAAAATAAAACACTTAAAGAGAGGGAGAGCAATCAAAATAATTGAATTAGGATCAAATTATCGATTAAAATTAAGAGGAAAAATCTTAGAAAATTTATCGATACAATGAAATAACAGCTATATATAAATCAACATAAACTCTCATTATTTTCACAATTATTATTAGCATTACTTCTTCAACGATGCGGAGAAATTAACGGATCTCATCGCTTATCGAACGCACACTTCTGCCATGCATTTTTTTAAAATGCTTGCTTGTTTTTTTTTTCCGAGCTAATATCGATCGTAAATCGTTGCTATTGCGACGTTTTGTTAATAAATACTTGCGCCAGACGCATGCGCTTTGCACATTGATTATTTTATCTGGTGCCACATATTGTCAGTCTCTAGTTATGGCAGATTGCCATGCGACCAAGGAAAACAAGTTTTCGTAACCTCGAATATACATTTATGAATGTGATCAACGTTGGAACATGGGGATTGTGTACTTAAGAAATCCATAAAGAATGCACCCGCCAAGTGCATCGAATTGGCTGCGGATTTTTATCAAAAATGTATAATGCTCCTATTTGCAGTTTAATATAAAAGCACGTAAAATTGAAGATTTCTAACGTCGCCTTACACTAGGTAAGAATTTAAATGCAGTTTTACTAATAACTTATTAACGTGTACAAACTCAATATAATAATACTGTAGTATATAATAATAATTTATATGTGTAAAAAAAATATATATATGTAATATACATATATAATAATACTGTAGCATATGATACATAATGATACATTATTTTTTTTAAATTGCTATGGTTATTGTTTAAATTGTGGTGAAATAACAGGAGAAATTAAACTTTTATTTGGAATATCTTATAGCATATTTATTATTATAATTATTGTTACAATACTGCTTTAATTAATAATGCAGTTAAAACATTAATGGAATATTTTGATATTTACACTAGTAATTAATTATGTTTTTGTATTCATGCATTAAAACATGATTGATTTTTTCTATATTATTATTTATTACGTATTAATATATAAAATGTATGATTAAATATTTTTAATATATTAAGCGATTATTACGTGCACACAAAATATATATTTTAGATATTTTTTGGAAATTTTATTGATGTCCGGAAGTTATATGATCACATTCACTTATGGCATCTGGAAAGCCAACCACGTGCAAAGAAGCTATACGGCGATGGGAAGAAGAAAATGAGCAGGAAGCAGCTACGGCGACAGAAGTAACTTTAAGTTTCCAGTGGCCACCAATAGAAAAAATGGATAATGCATTAGCAGTTTTAGCCAATTGTGAGAAACTTTCCCTGTCGACCAATATGATTGAAAAAATTGCAGGTAAAAAATGTGTTGCACTTTTCTTTGTTAAAAAAAAAATATATATATATAATTATACTTGTCATTTTTAAGAAATAATTATATGATAGTAACCGTAAATTGGAACCGTAAAAAATAATTTTTACATGTTAATGTAATATATTACAATAAATATGATTTAATATATATAATTTTATTTTCTGTTATTGTATTTTACTACATTATATATAAAAGAATTATTATCTCTTAATTTATTGCAGTTATTAAATTAAGTTATAATTTTTTTATATTATTTAATACATCTTTAAAAAGTGACGTATATCTTTCCCCAGAATTATATATATTATTAGAAGATGATGTGTAATGCATAAGTACAAAAACGAAAAATCTTTGAAACTATTTTTTTTCATCTTACTATTATCTTGCATCGATTACTTCAACAATTATTTATAAATTTATTTGATTTATGTAAATTTTGATATATTTTACGTGCCTCAGATGTATACTCGAATTCGTGTCAATTGCCAGATGTATAATGCATGCATCTAACAAGCGGGTGGCTATCTCAGTAGCATGATGCAATTACAATGCGAATAGGATTATAAATTTCACGTCATTGTACGAATAGATCGCGCGAGGCGTGCATTAATACCTTCAATTGTTGTCACCAATTTACTTGTTAGAGACAATTAATGTCGCTGTCCATTACAATCTGTCGCAATTTCGAGCAAAGATTATTCGATTGTTTAAAACATTCTTTACATTAAATATATGTTTTTGCAGTATTATTACATTAAATCTTTGATTTTATTTTTAAATGTATATATACATTTTATAATATTTTATTGGTCATTATTACAATATGATTTATGCAATATTTAATATATTGATGTAAATTATAACTTTTATTATTAAGAATAAGAAATATAAAATAACAGAAATAACTTTATGCAATATAAATATTTAAATTAATTTTTCAAATACGTTATGTTTTGTTTTTTTAGGGATTGGCAATTTAAAAAATTTAAAGATTTTATCGTTAGGTCGTAATTTAATCAAAGGTTTCGCCGGTTTTGAAGCTCTGGGTGATACTCTTGTAGAAATTTGGGTTTCTTACAATTATATCGAGAAAATGAAGGGTATTCAAGCAATGAGAAATCTTCGTGTACTCTACATGTCCAATAATTTGGTGCGAGAGTGGAACGAATTTGCTAGACTACAAGAACTTCCAAATCTTCGGGATCTAGTTTTTGTCGGCAATCCATTGTATGAAAGTAATGAGGTATTATCCATTAATATATTCTTCAGTAAATATGAAACAAAATTTATTCGTATATAACATCATTTGTAATTTCTTAAAAATAATAATGAGTTATTTAGATTTTAAATTTTGAAAAAAGGAGAGAAGAAAAAGACTATGTTCTTTTTTAGATCGAGCAATGGAGAATCGAGGTTGCGCGGCGTTTACCAAATTTGGAAAAACTCGATGGTGAACCAATAATACGAACAGAAGAAAATCCAATCTCGATTCAATCAGCCAAGACTGACAGTCCATCGCATGATTTGCTTGAACAAGAATCTGGTTAATTTTTTGACACAGCATATTTTATCTATTTTTTACATTTTTCTTATATCTGTTATAAACATTTTATTATTAGATTTATCTTTATTATCATGCTATTAACATCTCATAATTAATAACATAATCATAAATTTGTAATCAGAGAAGATTATTAAACACTCAGATGTACATTTATATTAATTTATTCGTCTCACAATACAAGACAGATCGTACATACGTTTTGGTGGTTGAAAAAGGTTGAAAAAGCAAATACAGTAGAGTTCGATCGAATTCGATGCACGAAATATATCGAGGATCAGACAGACGAATCTTCGAGAGTTGCTCTTCGTTATCATTTGTTTCTTTTTTTGTCTGTTCTCTTTTGTCATACAAGGCGTGCGAAATATTGAAATGTCATAGACATATGTTTATAGATCTGTTTTTTATAGCTGAACTGGCTGCACTAGTCAAAGTTTATCTTTCTCCTTCTAACGTGGAAGGAAAAAGATAAACTCTGAATTAGTGCCACTAGCACAGCCAGTTCAGTTATAAAGAACAGACCTTATGTGAAATGTGTTACGCAGGACGTTTGTTTGTATAATTATCGTATTTTTTTCGTGTAATTACGTAATAAAGTGCGTTCACGCGCGCGTGATACGTGCATTAGAAAAATTGACATATGTGTATATGTGTGTGCGTTCGGCTGAATTCTTTTTTATTTGCCTTTCCGCTTCATTTTTTGATTTCGGTTCTTAATAAGATTTATTTGTCTGCGTTGCCAATTTTATTTCACATCGATGATATATAATAATATTAGTTTGAACCTATATGATGTTTCTTACATAAATATACATTATTTGATCTCACTCAATTTAAATTATTTATAATGGTTACTACACACAAATAAAAATCTCATTAAAATTGCTTAGGATATTTGATAAGATAAGCACAATATTCTTATTATAATTCGGTTTCTTATAATCTTCGTATAATCTTTTACACTTTAAACGTAATTAAAATTTGGCTCAATGAGCAAATTAAAAAAATTGCATTTTGAGAAGTTAATATATTAATTTTCGTTTTTTTTTAATAGTGTAATCTTTTATTCAATTATCACGGGCGCCATGTACTTTAACATTAGTCACGAAGAATTCGTCACAATTGCGTCGAAAAATTGAAAAGTCTACCCAGAAAATAAAAAAAATAGAAAAATCTTGTGCTGAGAACAATGTACACAAATTTTCTAATTAAAACTGCATTAAATTTTTAATGGTTAGTCTGAAAATAGATTTTGTACCTTTGAAACATTCTTGAATTTTGTTTTCTTTTTCGATGCTGAAGAGATTGTATAGTAAAATATGTGAGAGAAGAGTCTTTGTTTTCGTCGCACAAGCAGTATGTTCAATGAGAGAAGTCATCATTAGTCCTTCAGGAGATACATTGTAGAATTATGTAGATGGTGAAAAGATAGAAAGAAGCTTTAGCCAATGATGACTAAGAATAAGAAAAATATCATATATCGATCCTCTCGGTTCGATCCGTGCCGTCGAAACGACACCAAGGCGGCGCGGCTGCTCTTCGGGGAGGAAAATACATTTTCAAATTATTAGAAATATATATATATAGAAGATTTTAAATTATTAGAAAATATATTAAAACAATTTTATTCTAGTTTGATTAACAAATACACATAGTTAAAAATATTTTTTTAGAGAGCAAGATATATTAAACTTTTATGTGCTTTTAATTTTATATTATTGACGATATATTTTATTTATGTTTAATGATTTGATTAGTGCAATCAATATCTTAAGCTAGGTAGTAATGCCATTATTCGTTGTGTCAAGTTTGCATTGTTCAAAAAAAAGAAATTTATGCGATTTAATTAGTTCATATACATATATCTTTTTTAATTTAAGAGAATAATAAAGAGATTCATTGTATTCATTGTATTTTCCTCCCAGCTTTGTCGTGAATCAAGTTTGCATAATCAAAATAGAAATCTCCATGTGAGCAGTCTCGATGACTTTCTTTTTTATACAAGCTGTTTGCGAAAATAATTCGATTCAAAGAAAATCATCATATACTCTTATAGTATATATTTATATTTCTATCATGAAAATTTCAATTTCTGTTCGCAATTGACACTCGACAAACGAAAGTGAAGTCGCTCTTCCACGAACGGAAGTCTCGTTTTTCTTTTGAATGATATGAACACTGGTGTTTGTTTCTCAGAAAATCACTTGTAAATACGCGCGAGTACTTAAATATCCACGCGGGCCTTTCTGTATAAAATATAAAATAAGAAATTTTGCGATTGCTCCGGTGTCGAGCCCGACGAGACGGCTTTTAAACATTTATCTTTAGCTACGTCACATTGACGTGTTTTACGGTTTTCGTGTGCTGCATCGCTTTGCTTCTCTACACCTCTCCTTTGACACAAAAAATAGTTCTGATATATTTCTCTTGATCCTCTTCTTCGGGCCTTTCCTTTTTTTTCTCTTTTTTTTCTTTTGAACCAACACTGATTATATTCACAATTTACACTGAAATAGATCTGACGGATCTTTAGGATAAAGATTGGTAAAAAGATAGGCAGAGAAAGATAGAGAGTGCTTGAGAGAGAGAGAGAGAGAAAGAGTGAAAATCGACGATATACCGCAAGGATGGATTTAGTTCTCTCTTTTTTTTCTCTTCGATCTTCTCATTGACTCTTAATTTTAGTATACAAGACTTGATGGCGATTGCAATACCGCAAATTTCTTTTTTTCTTTCCTTAGCACGTAATGTTCTTACGCGGCGAATCGTTGTTTTTGCTTCTTTACAAAGTCGAGAGCCATTTTGTCGCCAATTCGGGTTTCTAGAATTTGAAGGATCGGATGATCTAGAAACAAAAAACGGAGTTACTTTGCGATGGAAATAAAGCAGAAACTATAATGTGAAAAATATAAGTAAAGAAGATATTAGTATATACATATATTTAAATAATATTATTATAATATTATATATAATATATATTTTTCAATAAAACATTTAAATATATTATTACATTTCCAATCATTAAAAAACATTTTAATTTTTAAATATTTAATCAAAACACTTTAATATAAGATTATATATTTAAAATAATTTTTATTTTTACATATTTTTTATATTATAAATCTATAAATATGCAAAGCTATAAATAGATCCGTGATTAAAAATATCTCTTTAAAATATTTAAATTTTTATATTTATAAATTTAGAAATCTATCAATATATATCATTAATTTAAAGAGCCAAGAATCATAAATTTTACTGTTCGTAGAACTTGACTAGTTCGCGACTCACTCCGATTTTTCTGGTGCATAAGTGGTAATTCCTGATGCTTGAGGCCGTGGAAATTATCTATGTTAGTGTTCGTGTCGGCAACGCCAGGTATGGTACCAAGCCCCAGGAAAGCCTCACCCGCGAAATCATTTGCTGTGAGAACATCGTGATCCATCACCGTGAAAAGAATCATCGCGTTAGGGTCACGACACTGCTCCACGTGTACCGAACTTAAAATAAAAAAAGTATACGTATCCATCAAAACTAAATATCTTTTCGATTTTTGTCGATTGTCTCATATGAAATAGATGGTAGGATAAACATGTTACATAAGAATATCAAGAGTTTTAATTAACAATTAACTTTTTTGAATATATTACTTTTAGAGTGAAAGAGAAGATCAATGATAACAGAGTGTGATGTAATATTCAAAAATCTCTCAAAAAACTCACAATTCAAAACACTCATCAAACATGGGATTTAGAGTCCTCTTTTTGACATTAGTTTGCTGCTCGGCGCAATGCTCGAACATTCGTCGTGGTAGCAATTCGATTATAACGAAAGGATCGCTGAATCCATTTGGGTCTAACGGTATGACATCTCTGGCGTTTATTACTTCAACGCAAAGAGAATCGTGATTCAAATAAGCTCGCACCGTTAGAACTCCGTATTCACAGGTAGTTGTATTATATTGGTCCTAAAAAAATTAACATATAAACATTTCAAAAAGTTAAACGTTATGCTACGTGTACTGCATATTGTATATATTTGCGAAAAATGTTGAAGAGTAAATTAATTTTTTTAAATCATATTTTTAAAAAATTAAAAAATTAATTATACTTGTTTTATTAATTAATATTTTTAATATCTTGTATATATATATATATTATACCAGAAGGCGTTGATAATAAAATCGATCGATCAAGAAAGTCGTATCCATTTTGTGATATTGAAGACGTTCCTCTGCATTCATGAAACTTTGACGACGTAATACTTCTAAAGGCAAGCCCTTGTCGTCAGCATTGAAAAATTTCACTAATAAATCAAGTGCCTCATGTAATCTTTCGTAAAACATCACTGGTTTATCCTACAAATAACGATTTTTTTTTTATTGTCATTTATGATTTAAATTATTCACAAGTATGTAAATTCAGAGATTTCAACATGTCGTCCAAATTGTCAAAATAATTTCATTATCTTTTTATTATATAATATTATTATAAAAAAAGATTTATATACAATTATGATAAAGACATAATTACCTCGGCATTTCCATCCATTTGGCTGCCTAATTCGCTAAGTATTACTTCCCAAATGTCTTGCAGAATGCGATTGAAATTCGCAGAGAGTAGAGCTGAATTGAGTGCCACCAGGTGAACATCTAGATATTCGACGAGAGGTGCTATCGCCTCTGTAGTCGGTAAACTATCAGGGGACCAAGCCAAGTGAAACATTGCCTTCTTTAAAGGTGGTCTCATCTATAAGTAAGATAAAATAAAAAAGGAAAAATTACTTTAAATATTAAAAAATTATGGGGGTTTCAAAAATATAGTGGTTTTCATTTCTCATTATAAATATATGTATTTTCCCTCTCTCTCATGCTGTATATAATTATTACTAATTAATAGCGATAATTGCATAACTTTTTAATATGAATTTGCTAACACCTAATCATTTATAGTAATATAGTCGCAATTTTGTCATGATAATAATAGTGTCAAAGACATTTTTAAACCAAGAATACA